AAAAAAAAAAAAAAAAGGGAGTCAAGTTAGATATACAGCTACTTTCTCTTAATTCAATGAGAAGAAAGATTTGTACTAATAGTGTTTGGACAAGATATCATGTCTGCATCTTGTACTATGAATAACCACTATGAAGACAATAATATGCAATATATTAATTATTGAAACTGTCCTACTAATTGGTTTTCAAACTATCTCATTGCTATGTTTCTCAATAAAATTAATCAAAAATAAAATAAAATATAAAATATAAAAATAAAAAATCACAATTAAAAAAAAAAAGAGTATGGCCTCGAGATGCATTGTATCCATTCACCTATTTAAATGTCTTCAAGTCTGTCCTTCTTTATGGCTGAGTGGCACTCCATTATATTTCAAAAACCTATCTTCTTTACTCACTTATTGGTTGATGGATATTTAGGCTCTTTCCAAAATTTACCTATTACAAAGTAGGACTGAGACATTTAGGAAACTTGGTCTTCCTGGCACCACATTTCATGTTCTCTCTACCATCTTCCTGTGCCTGTCTATACAGAGATGACTTCAGCATCAGGGAAACTGAAAAGAGTAATGCTGGCCAGATTTGGTTTTGCATCTCCCTGCTCTCTGCTCTTTCTAACTGCTCTCCAGCTCAGGATTCAGATTCAGAACTGGGAATTTGACATCGGCTGTCTAAAAGCTGGTGTTAGAAATGAGACAATATTAAGGCTGTAAAAAGATTACACATTCTTTGCAAGGAGCCAGATGATGGGATGGTACACAGGCAGCCAGCACTGGTAGTAACAACTTTGACACCACCGAGGGTATCGAGAATAGGGAACTCACAGGCCAGTGTTCAGTGTTTGGCAAGAGTCAGATAATGAGAGGGTGTGGGCTAGCTGGTGTGTGAAGAAGGCCAATTATTCAGGCCAAAAAGAACAATATGCTATTGGGCCCTGTTGCATGCTGTTGCCTGGACTCATCAAAGTGAGGCTGGGCTCTTTCCCAAGCAGCAATCATTAACGCTGGCCTAAACCTGTGATCAAAATGCTCAATAGCTTAAGAGCTCTTTTGTACCTCTGCTGACTTTAGCATTGTCCGGGATGTGTGGCAGGAGCTCCTCAACATTTTCTGATGATTGGTCTCACCAGAACCCAACTTGCAACAAGGGAGACCGAAGCTTGCAATGTCTCTTACAAAGACATTTCTCAGGGATTACTTGTTTCTGATGAAAATCTCCTTAAACTGCCCCAGTCTTATCCCCTCGTCCTAAGCTCTGGCCAACTGTTATGGCTTGTGTCTAGATTTCCCTCCAGGCCTCACTTGGCCATAGGCTGGACTTTTGAGAAGTAGTTGGGTCTAGAGTGTGTGACACTGGGATTGATTCATGGCACATGCTTTGATTAAGGGCACTAGGATTAAGGGTGAGTGGTGCTCACCCTAAGGATGAGTATCCTGAATAAGATACAAGGGACAGGAAGAGGCCTATCTTATTTGCTCTCACCTGACTGCTTGCTATGAATAGTTTCTCCTCTGTGATGTCCCTCCTGCCATGCCACCCTGACTTGGACCCAGCCCACTATGGACCGAAACCTCTACAAATTGTAAGCCAAATAAACCTTTCTTCCTTTTACTGTGGATGTGATTTTGTCTCAGCAATAAGAAAAAGTAACTAAAACACCAGAGAACAAGTGAAGAGACATTCACTGCAATGATCAATACTATTGACAGACAATGCCTCATAGACCACAGGGCCCTGAATAAGTGATAATCTCAGGCACACTCAATTTCAATCAAGTTAAAGTGGAGGTTAAACTTGGCCTGTAGTTTTAAGGTTGGGAGACTGTTTAGATAAAGATTCTTTAGTTAATCCTTAGCACAAAGCAAGTTTTCAAAACATGGTGTTTGTGGGGAGAGATTGAGCTCCCTTAGGACACCCATATCCAAGAGCACTCCTTTTCTGTTCCCATGAAAAACATAGGCTTCTGTTCTGGGGAGCTGTTGTGAAGGTTCTAGCAGGGGCATGCAGGTAGTTGCATACCCTTGATAGGGAAAGTCCTCCTCTGTTAGGGGTGGTCATCACCTTTGTCCTCTTTGATGGACACACAGTGTTGGGAGAGACGTGCATGGAGCAGAAAGGGAGAAAGGGAATGCCAGTCCAGACAGCTGGGTCAGCCAAGTCAGCCCTGACAATCAGCGCAGGGACAGTCTAAACCATACTACCCTCATATCCTATGCTCCTGTTTTTCCTTGATGCCCACTAGTGGGTGCAGGTAAAACTCTCATATTCTTTCTACCTTAAGCTTTTATGCTTATACAGAGTTTAATCCAAAAGAGATCTTCAGGCAGAGAGTTTTAGTTTCTGTAAGCCAGAACCAGGTTTTTACCCATTTTACTTATCAGCAAAATACTTTAAAAGTTATTTTTAGTTTAAGTTCACAGATATTCAAATTGCCCTATTCTCATTACTACAGATTGTATATATGCATGAAAATATCACATCGTACCCCCAAAATTTGAACAAGTATGTATCAAATAAACATTTTAATGGCATTAAAAATTATCTGAAAAAGAAATTATCTGGAGAATCATAGCCAACCATGCCTTAAGATTTTATAACTCAGAGAGTCACATAAAGAAATAAAAGCAAGGCTAAGGAGATATCTCAGTGGTATAAGCATTGCCTGGCAAGCTCAAAGTCCTAAATTCAATCCCCAGTACCTAAAAAAAAAAAAAAAAAAAAAAAAAGAAAAAAAAAGAGAGCATTAGAATTTAGGAAGTGGAAGGGATCCACCAGGAGGATTTAGAAAAAGGAAAAGAGAAGAGGAACAGGAAACCATGGCTGTTGTGTTCACTGTTTGCAGTGGTCTAGGGAAGAATAATTTGACACACTGGGTAACAGCTGCTGTCTGCCTCCCAGGTCCCAGAACTCACATGGTACTGTGGAGAAGAGGTTGTCCACAGTGTACGCCGGCAACCAGCAAAGAAAGCCTGCCTGCGGCAATGGCAAACCCTTCTGAGGAACCTCTGAAGAAGTGTTTCTTATGTGGGAAACATGTGCATTACAAGAATGTACAGCTTTTGTTCCAGCTTATTTATCCACATACTGGCTGCGTTCATGGGAGGCAGACAGCAAGTCTTTGTGGAAAGAAACAGGAAGGAATTTCAAAAGCCATTAAGAGAGCTCAAATAATGGGGCTCATGCAAGTGATGTGCAAGGGTCCTGCATATCTCAGAGACCTCAAGTTTGCAACATAAAATATGAAGAATAAATTTCATAATGTTATTACCAATAAACTCACTTTATAATAAAAGAAAAAAAGAGAAGAGTATGGGAAATGGGAAGAATATGTACAAATAGGGAGGGAACAAGGCAGTGGGCAAGGAAAGGGAAGGAAGGGAAAAGAGGAAAAGGAATAGAAAGAAAAAATGGAAACAAAGCTTGTGGGGCGGAGAAGAAGGGTGAAGGGAAAGGAGAAGAATGGGAAAAAAGGAAGAACTAAAATATATTATATATAGGTACAAATTCCCTATGGTGAATGTGATCAATATGTATTAAATTACATTAAAATATAAATTAAAATTATTTTTAAAAAATTAAAAATATAAACTTTAAAAAAGAAGATGCCCTCCATGTGCATAAATAGGCTTTTTCAGACCACACAAGAGGAAACAACACTCTCAGTCTGGAGAGGCAGGGCAGGGCTTCGTCAAGAAGATGCATGAAGCTGGGGAGGTAGCTCAGCTGACTAAGGGCCTGCCTGGTAAGCACAAGGACCTGAGTTTAATCCCCAGTACAACAGGCCATGTGGGCCCTGGAAACCCGGGTACACCATGTCAGCCCCAAAACCAGGTATGGTGGTGTATGTCTATAATCCCAGTGCTGGGGAGGCTGAGACAGGAGGATCACTAGGAGTCTGAGCTGCGAAGGGAGACCCTGTACCAAATAAATTTTTTTAATTAAAAAAAAAAGACACTTGAGGGGGCCTGTCCCTTAGCTCAGTTCGTTAAGTGGCTGCTTCAACAAAGCAGTCAGGCTCAGGTTGCTGTGGTTCGATCTCCAGAACTCAAGCCAGCCAAACCTGCCCTGAAAGCATTCGGAGGGGAAAAAAAAATCCTTAAAAAAAGACACTTGAGCAGGGAATTTGAGGATAAAGGTCAGGATAAGAATTTTCCATACAGGATAGGCAAAGGCCCAAGACAGTGGAGAATAGGACATATTCAAGGGTTTGAACAGAGACAGCACTACAATACATACACAATAAGAACAGTGATACAAAACAAAATGGATGGCAGAGACAAAAAAAAAAAAAGGCCAGATTATGCAGGGTCTTTCATAATAGAAAAGATTTGGTCATTATCTTAAAAGCTTCAGAAAGCCACTGAAGTTTAAGCCAAAGTAAGATATGACCAAGATTGAAATTTTTAAAAAATTACTTTGGCAATAGCCATAGTATAGAAAAAAGATTAAAAGAAGAAAGAGGATGTGTGGAGACAGTTATGGGATACTGCAAGGTCTCTGGGCAAAAGAGGATCATGGTTTGCTGGTGGCAGTGGGGACAGAGAGAAGTAGCTAATAAGAGAAGTCCCAGAAAGGTAAAGGCAAAGAGCCTGTAGATGGGATAGATAAGAGAGGGAGAAAGAAAGGGGTATAAAGATGAACTGGAGATGTCCAATGCGTATGTGATCCTAGAGGGGACATTTAAGATGGCTGGAGTTGGACTTCACTACATTGAAATTTATGTGGACATCACAGCAGAGATATCAGGCAGGCAACTAGCTATAAAGTCTGCAGGTTTCTGAGCTCATAATGATGAAATAGCTCCCTAGAGAGGAGCTAACTGCAGCGTGATTATCTACAAGGGCACCTGTAGAAGAGGGCATAAAAGAAGAGAAAGGATCTAGGAAGGGCGGCAAAGTGTCACCATGCAAATGAGTAAGAGGTGGAAAGAAAAACAAATATATTTTCAGACACTGGCAAATTGTGTTTTATAAGCTCTGTTTTAAATAAGCTGAAAAAGCAGACAGATTGCCATACCCAGAAGGCAAGCTGAAAGCGAAAAGGCTCAAACAGTTCATGTATGCAATGATTAGCTCTTAGAGTACCTAGAATGGCCTCTCTTGAAATTTTTACTTGTCCCAGTGGATTGACTAATTCAGTTATAAAGGCCCTGCCATGCATGCCATGCTCCCCTTTAGACAAAGGACACTTCTTCAGCAATGCACTCTCACTTCAGCCCTATGGCAATGGATGTGAGTGGGGACGATAAGCAGACATCACAGCCGGCCCAGCAGAAAGTTCCAATCCGATCCCAGGGCTCCGGCGCTCCTGGGTGTCTGCCCTTCTCAATGAAAAAGCATAAGCCTTCAACTAGTGTCAAAGAGAAGATTCCAACCCAGGGAAGCCCAACAACACCACAGCCAGTGCAGCCTCTATGTGATGGCAAGAAATACGTGTATGTGGCTTTTAATCACTGAGCTTTGAGAGCTGTTTATTACCACAGCAAAAAATACATTGTACACAGTGAGATCTCTTGAAGCTGAATGTAGTTATTTCAAACTCCAGTGGAAAGTAGAGAAGGCATCATTTGCAGTATCATCTATCTGGCACTGATAGCCACTTACAATCATCATGGCATTTTTATTCTCATGACAGGGCTGTGGATATAGCTCGGTGGCAGAGTACCTGCCTGGCAAGTGTGAGGTCCTGAGTTCCATTTCCAGTACCCTCTGAAAAAATAAGAATAATTTTCATGACAATCATTTTCACTATTTTACATGGTCAGCTTTAGGCATGGATACATTTCCCAGGATCTCAAAGCTAGCAAGTAATGGGAATGGAACAAAACCTTATTTAGCCAACCCGAAAGCACATGTACTGTCCATATTGTCAAAGAAATCTCCTAGAAATGAAACCTAGTTCTCGGGGCTGGTGAGATGGCTCAGTGGTCTAAAGCACCTACTTAGAACAAGCTAAGCTAAGGGACCGCGGTTCTAATCCCCCAGCACCACATGCCAGCCAGCCCCGCCCCCTGGTGGGCTGAGCGGGCCACACACACACAAAATAAATAAATAAATAAAATAAACAAATAAATAAAATTAAAAAAAAAAGAAACCTAGTTCTCCCACATGTGAAGAAAAAAAAAAAAAAAAAGACTAAGAAACCATCAGTGCAGTCTGTTCTAGACTGATATTGCACGTCAGTACTTGTGCTTCTGTGGTTCTAAAATCTCACATGGCCACGAGCTCTACCACACACTTTACCACAGCTGAGAAAATAGAAGCCATGCAGCTTGGAATTTGTGGCTCAAGTCAAGTCACAATAAAAATTGGAAACAAAGATTGCATTTTGCCTCAACTTTCTAGCCACGTCCAAGTGTTGTATCCTCCTCTGTATCATAGCTGACTATATTCTATTATGAGTTCACCTGGGTTTTCCTGGCTTTTCTTTGGCAATGGGACTCTCCACCACCTTCTGAACCTTGGGGGAGTTTTTAACTTTTAACCTGTTAAGAATAAAAAATAAGCAAGATGTATTAGTCACTTACTGGTGTCCACTTGTCCATTGAAGAATGATGTGCTCTGCCCCAAATCTATTCTAGACCTGTGGATTCCCTGAGGAGGCCTTGTGTGGGCAGTGGGGATGAAGTGCACTTGCTCTAAAGTTAGACAGCTCTGGCTACGAACTCTGCTCTCGCTCTGTGCCCTTGGCAGCTTGGCTCCCGCTCTCTGAATACCTGCTATACGGAGGATAATAGCTCACTCACTGGGATTATTTTGGAGATCAAATTAGATGGAATATTCAGCTCTCTACTATGGATGGTTAATTACAGCTCTGAGCAGCAAAGAGAACCCACATGAGAATGGGGCTTCCCACAGCATCGGTTCTCCACAGGGCCTCCTCTCCCTTCAGTGACACATATAGGACGCACAGTCAACACAGGCATCAGTAACATCAGCAGCACTAAACAGTGAACACCCACGACCTGAAAACATTTTCCTAAGTCCTTTCCATGCATTGCCCTAAACCTCAGAACTGCAAAACTGAAAAAAAAAAAAAAATTAAGAGTTTACTTCTTTTAGAGAAGAGAGCTGCAAACTGAGACGCAAGTGCCTAGCTGGTCCCCCAGACCTCCAAGCCAAACCACTAGCCACACTGTCAGCTGCTCTTAGAAGGCATCTCCCAAGCCAGGCAGTGTGATGCATACCTGTAATCCCAGCACTTGGGAAACTGAGGCAGGAGCTTTGCCTCAGCATTTAAGGCCAGCATAAGCTGCATAGTGAGTTCAAGACCAGCCTGGACTATATAGTGAGACTGTGTCTCAAGAAACAAAACAAACAAAAAATGCATCTCGGGCGGGTGAGATGGCTCAGTGGTCTAAAGCACCTACTTAGAACAAGCTTAGCAAAGCACGGGGACCGCGATTCAATCCCCCAGCACCACATGCCAGCCAGCCCCACCCCCTGGTGGGCTGAGCTGGCCACACACACACACACACACACACACACACACACACACACAAATAAATAAATAAATAAATAAATAAATAAATAAAAATTTTTTTTAAAAAATGCATCTCCTTTCATTGCGTTCAACACAATTTTAAAAAAATAGAATAAAATAAAAAACAAAAAAACACCAGCTCCATGGCAGGGTCAGACAAACTCTGAAAAATATATTGATTTTAAGAATTATACACAGGGGGGGAAGAATTATACACTGAAAACTGGAAACCTATAAAGCACATGCACTGTCCATATTGTCAAAGAAATATCCTAGAAATCAAACCTAGTTCTCCCACATGGGAAGAAAAAAAAAGACTGAGAAACCATAAGTGCAGTCGTTCTAGACTGACACTGCACGTCAGTACTTGTGCTTCTGTGGTTCTAAAATCTCACAGGGTCACAAGCTCTACCACACACTTTACCATGGCTGTAATCTCAGCACTCAGGAAACTGAGGCAAGAGGATTGCTGCATGTCTGAGGCCAGCATGGGCTCCACAGTGATTCCAAGGCCGGCCTGGACTGCACAGCAGAGAGCCTGTCTCAAAAAAAAAAAAAAAAAAAAAAAAAATTGAACATGTGAGCTTTACAAGACACTGTTAAGACATGTTTGAGGCCATAATGCTAAGTGAAATAACTCAGCCACACAGAGAAATTAAAGATCTGAATTAAAGAAGAGACACTCTACATTCATAGATTAGGAAACTCAGTATTGTTGCCATGGAAATTGTTTCCCCAAATTGATCTATAAATT